TGCTCCTTTGATGCTGCTTGGCCTGCTGTGTTCATCCAGCTTTACACAGATATGACTTTATGGGTTATTGACCAAGTGCAAGAAAATAGGATTAGTTTAATTTGGTGTATGTGGTCAGCATCAATGAGATGGGCCAAAGGGGCTGTTTCTATGTTGTATGACTGTATAGATGAAGGCCATTCAACCCATTGTGTCTGCACCAACCCTTCAAAAGAGCATTATTACCTAGCGCCAATCTCCTACTTTTCCACCATATATTTGCACATTATTTATATCTAGATGTCGAAAAAAAACTGTGGATACTGGAAGTCAGAAACATAATCAGAAATTACTAATAAAGCTCAGCAGATAGTGGTAAGGGGGACAGTTCACTAGATGGTGTCCTGTCACCCCTAGGGAACTGTTTGGTGCTCTGAGGGGTGTTGGTTCACTATCTCCATTGCACTAAAGTTTAAACTGAAGCTCACTTATCCAAATCCTTCACAGATGCTGCCAGACCTGCTGGGCTTTTCCAGCAACTTTGTTTTTGTTTACTTATCCAAATGGTGCTTAAGGGAGATGAGGTGACTGCACAAAGCCTTAGTCTGGGAGATGATCCAAAGGTTTCATCAGCCATAATTTGGGAAACACAAACCAAGCAGACATATACACCAAACATACCAGGGGACACTAACCCAGGTGGCATTAGTTGAAGGGCACACAGACCCCAATGTCAGGAGTATACACAGGTTGGAGGTGTAATGTGTGTGACAATTGTATTCCTGGGGGGCTCCTTTTATGGGAATGTACATTGTTTTCCTGTGTAAAGACAAACTGTATAAAGTGTATTTAAGATTTAAATCTAGTATTAGGTATGTTCACTGTGTACTGTATACCTGTATGTTGTGACAAAATCCTGGACTTTTCCAATATCTAAACTACTGAGCAGAATCCTGGACTTAGGATGTAGCAAATATACAACGGAGCCAGCAGAATGGAAATTTCCGTCCAGGGACTATTGCTCAGCCTGGAATTCCATTTTACAACTTCATTCCACTCCTCTAAAAGAACAACCAACCAAGCCTAACAGACTCTAGCCCGAGACAGATTTTGCACCTTGGGCTACCCAGCACAGACAGTATGGAGCCTACAGAGATACTGGACGTTCAACTTCAATCAAAATCCATTCACACGTTCTTAACGATCAGGACACTATTTGACTTCAGAAGAGAACATCAAGTATAACTGCCAGCATGATCTCACCTGGGAGACAGCCTTTTTTTTTTCAACAAGCTTCTGCACAAACCGCTTCCTTATGAGCTTCCAGTCCCAATGAGCAACTTTGGAATCAAGAAACAGAGGCCGAACACAGAATCTGAATTGGGAAGCTAAACCAAGAGCATCATTGGAACAAAGGAGATCTGAGCAGTGGAGGGAGGCCAACCAAGTGGTACCTGAACAACAGCTTCCAGACATGGAACTGTTCTGAACCAAGAGAACCGACGGCAAGAACCTTAGCAACTGGGTGCACTTTAAAACTGCATTTTCCTCAGTGGTGAGGTGAAACGCCAAAGTTCCGACCTAGCTAGCAGGGAGGGGAAAGCAAGTGGTGGCAGTGCTTGGGATCCCAAGGGTAGGAAGCCTGATTTAAAGATTCTGTAATTAATACTGTGTTTAGGTTCTAATAGTGTTTTAATAGGTTGGCACAACATCGTGGGCTGAAGCACAGTACAGGCTCTATGTTCCAATCTAGCTAATAGTGTATTTAATAGGATTACTGTCCTCTGTACAGTTGATTTGTATCAATTTCCCTGCCTGTTGCATTTACCTATATTTCTTATATCATACTTACCTTTTTGTATTTAAATAAACAGAGATTCATTTGCCCTGAAACACCTGTCTACTGCCTTCTTCATTTCACATTCCCTAAATAAATTGTGTCTAGAACGAGGGATCTGGGGGTGATTTAAAACGACTTAAAAATCAGAAAATTACTGATTGCAAGCCAGAACCCTACATTTCAGTACTGGTTGTAGCTAGGGGTGTGTGTGTAATGATAGGTGGAGTTGGAGCCCAGAGGCTGAAAAACAATTGCACAGAGAGATGGGTAAAAATCAGCCTGGGAGAATGTATACCTGCTGCTGGGGACCATTAGTGGCTGACAATGGGTTGTTTGTAGTAGAAATCTATGTGCTGAGAAGGTGTAATGTGGGGGTTGGGGTAAGAATATGGGAGAAGATTCTCAGGCCCTAAAATTTTTAAATTTGATATAGTCCAGAAGACTGCAGAAATCCGGAGTGAAAAATGAGATGCTGTCAGTGAGCCTCATAGGAATGCTGTAGCAAGCCTCAGACAGATGTTGGCCAAGGAACACAGCGGTGTGTTGAAATGGAAGGGGCAGCTGAAAGCTCAGAGATAGTAGGAATTGCCGATGCTGGAGAATCTGAGATGACAAGGTGTAGAGCTGGATGAACACAGCAGGCCAGGCAGCATTAGAGGAGCAGGAAAGCTGACGTTTCGGGTTGAGACCCTTCTTCAGAAATGGGGCAGGGGAAAGGGGATTCTGAAATAAATAGGGAGAGAAGGGGAGGCGGATAGAAGATGGATAAAGGAGAAGATAGGTGGAGAGGAGACAGACAGGTCAAAGAGGCGGGTTTGGAGCCAGTAAAGGTGAATGTAGGTGGGGAGTTAGGGAGGAGATAGATTGGTCCAGGGAGGACGGACAGGTCAAGGAGACGGGATGAGGCTAGTAGGTAGGAGATAGGGGTGGGAGGAGGGGATAGGTGGGAGGACAGGTTAGGGAGGTGGGTACGAGCTGGGCTGGTTTTGGGATGTGGTCGGGGGAGGGGAGATTTTGAAGCTTGTGAAGTCCACATTGATACCATTGGGCTGCAGGGTTCCCAAGTGGAATATGAGATGCTGTTCCTGCAACATTCGGGTGGCATCATTGTGGCACTGCAGGAGGCCCAGGATGGACATGTCGTCCAAGGAGTGGGAGGGGGAGTTGAAATGGTTCGCGACTGGGAGGTGCAGTTGTTTGTTGCGAACCGAGTGTAGGTGTTCCACAAAGCGGTCCCCAAGCCTCCGTTTGCTTTCTCTGACGTAGAGGAGGCCACAATGGGAACAGCGGACACAGTATACCACATTAGTAGATGTGCAGGTGAGCATCTGTTTGATGTGGAAGGTCTTCTTAGGGCTTGTGATGGGGATGAGGGGGGAGATGTAGGGGCAGGTGTAGCACTTCCTGCGGTTGCAGGGAAAAGTGCCAGGGGTGGTGGGGAGTGTAGAGCAGACGAGGGAGTCAGCTCAGAGTCATTTTTGCAGACAGACCGTTCTACCCAACTAGTTTTCCCTCTAAGCACTCATCTCCAATTCTCCAATTGTCAAATGCCTCTTGAATGTCTCAAATGAGCCTGCCTCCACCGTATTTCCAGGCAGTTCTTTCATGTGAATGACTATGCTAGTCAATCTCATCCAAAATTATTGAACACTATTGAAAATGTCTCCTGCAGTCTGTTACTATCTTCACTATTTATTTACAGCATTTCTGATTTCACCAAACTGCAAACATGATGCCCTATTATATCCAATTGCAGGTCAAGCAGAAATCTCAATACTTCAATCTTATCTGTGAAACAACCTTCCAGCATTAGTCTCCGCTGTTTCGTCTCTGGACAATGCGATATGAAATCTAAATAGAGATTTACCAAGCCTGTCAGGGAACTTAGCCAATGCAACTTCGAATCAGCAACCAGAGGCACAGTAACATTCACCAGAGTCCTCACGTGATGAGACAGTCACATGATAATGTTTCCCGGAAAGCAAAACAATACAGAGCTGGCACTCCCCAGACTGGAGAACTCGGTGACTGTGTGAGAGTTATAACAGGGAGAGTTCACCAAGGAGGGGGTTAGTGCGCTGAGGTTGGAGCCGCTCCGCGGGCACAGCAGCCCGGCGGGATGGAGGCGCTGCCTCCCGGCGCTGCACTGACCGGTGTTTTCCTCACTGTGTTGGTTGGGCTCGCTATCCACTTGTTCGCTGACTATGTCCGTAAATGGAACCAGATGAAACGGATCCCCGGGCTCAGCCCGACCTACCCGATCCTGGGGAATGCACTTCTGTTCAAGCCAAGTGGAGAAGGTAGATACACACTGCTATTGAGACAGGCTCTGAACTCCTACTTAACCTACTGAGCGGCTTTGATTTAAGTAACATCAGGGTTAACTTGCCACAACGAGGGCCTGCCTAGTTTATTATCAACTTAGTCAGAAATGAGATCGTGAACCCAGGCCTCCTGTCTTGGAGGCAGGGACACTACCATTGCGCAACAAGAGCCCCCTGGGTATTATCTATAAAATGATTCACAATTTACTGAGTAGGGAACAAAACTAACTTGTTTATGGTTAATTTTGAAATGCTGGGCTCCTAAATTTCAGTGTTTGTGAAGAGTCACTAATTTAAAAAAAAATCATTATAATCCTCTTTAAATAAGCTTATTTAGTAAAGAGCTCTGCTTTGCTTGAGGGAAGGAAATCTGCCATCCTTACCTGGTCTGGCCTATATGTGACTCCAGACCCACTGCAATGTGGTTGACTCTTAACTGTCCTCTGGGCGATTAGGGATGGACAATAAATGCTGGCCTAGCCAGTGATGCCCTCATCCTGTGAATGAATTAAAAAAAAACTTTGTTACTATGGCACACACTTGATCAAACGGGTTCAGTTGTACAAATAAGTGGAAAATAATCTGTGATTTAATTGTGGATTTAAAATAGGTTACATATCTTTTGTTGTATGTTTACAAACAACATGTGATCATTCAAACATTTTAAAATGCAATTTTTGATTTTTTTTTGCCTGCTGTGGGATTTCACTTTCAGTTTGAGGATACTAAATTTCTGTGATCTTGAAGAACGTAAAGCTTTTGGAGTGATGAGAGAGAACCAGAATGACTTAAAAGATGCTAACCATATTAAGAATTGAGAATTAAAGCTCTGGAAGTTTCTAATTCAGTGATTAAAATGACTCCTTTGTATTAATATATTTCACTGATGTGTTTAACGCTTTTTGAGCATTGCTGAAAAAAGACACATTTTGTTGATTTTCATCTTAACAGGACAATTCACCAGAAATACGGGAGATGAGTGTGCTGATTGGTAGAGGCTTTGTCTTGGTTATATGATTGGCAGCTAACTGCCAGATTTGGTTTAAATTTAAACAAATCATGTTGATAATAGTCAAGGTAATGTCTTGAAAAATGAAACAGAGAATGGCTGTCAATTATTTTGTAGAGTTTAGTCAAGTGCAATGTGTCTATATGTTCTTGCCATCCATAAAGGGCAGGGCCATGTATATTACTAATATATGCAGCTCCATTAGCATACGTGTGCCACACTGCAAGTGTGACTGACAATCTAAATTTGATTGTGAGCACAATTCTTAGCACACTTGGTTGTTTAGCAAGTGTTACATAATCATCGACTAACATCTAGACACTATATTTTGTATCTAAGGCTTTGGAGTAGATCTGTAGCTCGGGTTATGGGTGTTGAGGTTGGTTGGCTCGCTGAGCTGTTTTGTTGTTCCACAGACGTTTTGTTACCTTGTTTGGTAACATCCTCAGTGCAGCCTCTGATGAAGTATCGGTGTGTTTTCCCACCTGGTTTTTAAACTCTGGGGTCTGTTGCGATGGATTGCCTCACTTCCGGGTTTCCTCTGTAGTGGAATGTACATGGGGTCGAGTTCAATGTGTTTATTAATAGCCTGCTTCATGGTTTAGGTTGGATTTGCGGAAGGGCAGTCCTTTCCAGTCTTTGCATCGCTGCTTCTGCTATGAGTCCGGAGATAGGCGATCCCAGGAAGCATGGCACTGCACGAAGCAGGCTATTAATAAACACATTGAAATCGACCCCATATACATTCCACTACGGAGGAAACCCGGAAGTGAGGCATCGCAACAGACCCCAGAGTTTAAAAACCAGGCGGGAAAACACACTGACGCTTCTTCAGAGGCTGCACTGAGGATGTTACCCAGCACGGTAATGAAACATCTGCGGAGCAAAAAAATCAGCTCGGCGAGCCAACCAACCTCAATTATATTTTGTATGTTGTCAGCCTGGTTGCTTGATTTTGATTTATTATTGTCACATATACAGAGATATAGTTAAAAGTGCAGTTTTACATGCTATGCAGGCAGATTGTACCATACGAAGTGCATCAGGGTAATAGAACAAAGTGTGGAATACAGCGTTACAGCTGCAGAGGAAGTGCAGAGAGGGAGATAGATTTTAACATTTTGAGAGGTCCGGTCAAAAGCCTGATAAGTGGGGAAGAAGCTGTATTTGACTCTGGTCCGTGTTTTCAAATTTTTATATCTTCTCCTTGACAGAAGAGGATGGGAAAGTATACCCAGGGTGGGAGGTGTCTTTGATTATGTTTGACTCCATCTATACTTGCCATTGCCTCAGGAAGACAACGAATGGAAGGCTGGTTTGCGTGATGTGCTGGGCTGTGTTCACAACTCTCTGTAGTTTCTTGGGAAGAGCAGTTGCCATAACAAGCTGTAATGCATCCAGATAGGATGCTTTCTATGTTGAATCTATAAAAATAGGAGAGAATCTTTATGGATATGCCCAGTTTCCTTTTTCATCCTGTGGAAATAGAGGCACTGTTGTGTTTTCTTGACCACAGTGTTGCTGTGGGTGGACCAGGACAGATTGTTAGTGATATTACTCCTAGGAACTGGATGCTGTTGATCATCTCCACCCCAGCCCCATTGATGCAGACAGGGGTGTGCCCTCCACTCTGCTTCCTAAAGTCAAAAATCGGCTCCTTCCCTTTTCCTAATGGTGAGCGAGAGATTGTTGTCTTTACACCATGCCACTAAGCATTCTGTCTTTCCTGTATTCTGTCTTGTTGTTGTTTTGAGGTCCGGCCTACAACAATGGTGTCATCAGCAAACTTGTAAGTGGAGTTAGTGCAGAATTTGGCCACATAGTCATATATGTATAAGGAGTGTAGTAGGGGGCTGAGTATGCAGCCTTGCGGGGCACCGGTGTTGGTGTTCATGGTAAAGAAGGTATTGTCGCCTATTCTTACCGATTGCGGTCTATGAGTCAGGAAGTCGAGGATCCAGTAACAGAACGGGGAGCAGAGACATAGATCTTTGAGTTTGGAGATGCGTTTATGTGGAATTTAAATGGTTTTGAAAGCCGAGCTGTACTCAATAAGTAGGAGCCTGATGTAGGTATCCTTGTTGCCCAGATGTTCCAGAGGTGACTGTAGGGTCAGGGAGCTGGCATCTGCCGTGGACCTGTTGCGCCAGTAGGCGAATTGCAAAGGATCAAGATGGTCTGGTAGGCTGGAGTTGACGTGAGCCATGACTAACCTCCCGAAGCACTTCATAATTATGGAGGTCAGAGTCACTGGGTGGTAGTCATTGAGGCAAACTGCATGATTTTTCTTTGGCACTGGAATGATGGCGGTCTTCTTGAAGCAGGTGGGAGGTTCAGATCGTAGTAAGGAGAAGTTAAAGATGTCTGCGAATACTCCCGCCAGCTGGTCCACGCAGGATCTGAGTGCATGGCTGGGGGCTCCATCTGGATCAGTCGCTTTCCATGGGCTCGCTCTCAAGAAGGCCAGTCTGACATCTGCCACAGTGACTGAGGGAACAAGTGCACCCGAGGCTGTCAAGGAAGGTGATGTCATTTTGTTTGGGCATACCCAGTAGCTTGCTTATTATGAAGAGCTGAAGGAATATACTCTTTGATACAGTCTGCCAACAATCAACGTAGCTGCCATTACACCAGTACTGAAATTCATATATCATGTTACTCATTTGAATGACAGGCAGGATGTCTTTTTGGCTTGACGACAGAAGCATATTAGTGAGAAACCACTTGTGTTACTTCACGGTCATTTGAATCAGCTAGCTTCCTGTTGCTCCAACAGATAACCAACCCTTGTAGAGTAATCCTGAGGTAGATTGCAGATTTTTTTCAGAATCAAAAGTGAAGACCTTGGTGTCTGTTTATCTGCCAAGAAGCTAAAAAGATGTGCTTCCTATGCCCTGAGAAACCAGAGCCAAACTTCGTGGTTTAAGTTAAAACAAAACCTGTCTGTTAACTGTCAGTCATAATCTAACTGGTACATTCTCCATGGCAACACCTTCAACAAACAACACTTTCTTCTCATTCAGTATATAATTATTGTTTTCTCTTTTGACTGGGTACTCCTTGTTAATTGTCCGCAACTGGAATATTGGGTGCAATTCTGGTCTCCTTGCTATAGGAAGGATGTTGTGAAACTTGCAAGGGTTTAGAAAAGATTTTACAAGGCTGTTGCCAGGGTTGGAGGGTTTGAGCTGTAGGGAGAGGCTGAATAGACTGGGGCTATTTTCCCTGGAGCTTTGGAGGGATGACCTCATGGAGGCTTATAAAATCATGAGGGACATGGATAGGGCCAATAGACAAGGTCTTTTCCCTGGAATGGGGGAATCCAAAACTAGAGGGTACAGGTTTAAGGTGAGAGGGGGAAAGATTTAAAAGGGATCTAAGGGGCTACGTTTTCATGAAGAGGATGGTGTGTTTGTGGAATGAGCTGCCAGAAGAAGTGGTGGACGAAGGCTCTGTTTCCATGCTGTACATCCCTATGACTCTGAGTGTGAAATGAGAAAGCTTTGCCAAAGTCTGTTTTTTTTTCAGCAATACTCAAGGTCTGCACTTTGAAACAATGACTTAATTCACAATTGTTTTTGGGTTCTTTTAGACTTTTTCCTTCAACTGATTGAATTTACCACTGAGTGCAGAGATGAACCACTCATGAAATTATGGTTGGGACCGCTACCCTTTGTTGTGTTGTTTCATGCAGAGAATGTGGAAGTAAGTTATTTTTCTATGTGGTATTTTGGGTTTGTGCTTGGGAAAACTATATATTTAAATGTATTCATTTATGGGATGGCACTGGCAAATCATTTTCCATCCCTACTTCCCCTTAAGATGATGATGGTGAACTGCCTTCTTGGACAGCTGAAGCTAATACTAGTGAAATATTTCCACATTGCTGTTAGGGAAGCCAATCCAGGACTTTGACCAGCAGTGAGGAAGGATCGGTGATACATTTCCAAACCAGGAACAGTGAATAGGTGAGACAACAAGGTGCAGGGCTGGATGAACACAGCAGGCCAAGCAGCATCATAGGAGCAGAGAGGCTTGTGAATAGGTGCTGTTATGGTGACTCTGCTGCCCTTCTTATTATGGTTTGTGTGATGCTGTAGTATGCATATTGCAGCTGCAATGCTCCTAAATGTAAATACTGTTTTTGGAGCTCCTATGTATTTAAGAACATTGAGGATATCTCATCAGATTGACTTATGGTGAGTTATGGTATCCTAGATTCATGAGTTCCGGAAGTTTCAAATCCGACGAAGATATATTCTGTTAATTAACAAACTGGTCTTTGGCAGGTGGTGAGAGAGTAAAACATACCTGACCTCCTCCATGCCAATCTGCCTGATGCAGATGCATCTGTCCATGAAAGTGTTGGTGACCACAGCA